AGTCAGCAACATGTGGCACGTATCCCAACTCTGCAGATCTTGCTGCGGCTTGGTCAGTCGCCCTGCTTGGCGCCGAAGATGGGCGGTTTAACCAAAAAAAACTTAAGGTTTGATACGAAGTACTTGCGCGAATCGTTCTGATTTCCCTTAATTCAGGTTTTGGAATTGCAGTAAAATTTGCAGATGCCGTGGAAAGCAGAACAGAAAAGTCTTTGAAAGGGGATCCCCAAGCAAAGGACCTTTCGCACGGTGAGCTCGCTATACCCCCGAATCGGTGAGCTCGCCGTAAGACGGACAAATGTCATCATACCCCACCCCCCCAAGCCCCATATCCGCACCAATTTCTGCCAACTGGGACTCAGGCGGTTGACCCTCCATCCCGGGGCACTCGCAATGCGCCGGCGATCTTTGCTGCTGGAATCGGCGATGCGGATCGGCGATCCGAATGCGGAAGCTGCCACTTCAACGCCTCATGCAAGTCCTTAGAGATCCAAAGGGCAAACACCAACCCTTTCATTGACTTTGAGACCCAACTTTCAGTGGTGAACCCACCCACGAAGGGCAAACACCAACCAATTTAGATACCCAACTTTCAGTGGCGAACGAAGGACCTTCCGAGGCCTTTGCAAAAAACTGCTCCAAATAGAAGCTATACGCCCCCTTTTGAGACAAAGCCACACTGTGGGTGGCTCGTCTTCTTCGAGTTGGCACGCCCCTTTTGGAGGATCTTTTAAAGGAAACCACAAGCTGAAAACCACCCATTTGGGGGCCCCCCCCCAAGGTCCAACCTTAAAAAGGACGAGCCACCCATACTTGTTTCTATCTCCCATATTTGTTGGTTTTTTGGTCGGTTCTTGATGGAAAAAACGCAGCCCCCAGGAATCTGAAAAGCGCAGCCCCCAAAACGTCCCCTTCTATGGATTCAACTCCACATAGAAAAAAATGAGTGAGTCCTACGCTATGGGCATTTCAACGGAACTTCACATTCATGATCGTAGACCATGGTTGGAAGGATAGTGACTGGCATCCTTGATATAGTTGGGTTTGTCTGAAAATAGGGGACGCCATAAATGCTGCCTTCCCTTGAATCCCCCTTCAAATCCCAAAGCGGCTGACACAGTCATATCCAGTTGGCGCCCTTTCAAGAAGGCCTCAAATGAACAAACCTCTGGTTGATAGGGGGATTGTCCGCTTTTGGACGGTTCCCATTTCGAACGCATCAGAGAGGTCAATGCCACAGGCGCATTCGGACCGGTCGATTTTTGTTCTTCCAGCTCCTGGCAAACCACGAATCGTCGGAAGGCATCCCACATCCCTTGCCTCTGTGCTTTTTCGTTTCACGTGCGATCGGTGCGCTAAAAGGAATGCGAATGTGGGAATGACCCCGATTTCAACCATTGCTGGTGGTTTCCAAAAACAGGGGACCAAAGCCTGGGTTCATGAACACCCATTACTTATCGCACCAGCAAGTTCAGGGGACGCAACTGCAGTTTGGGGCAGGAAAACTCTTCCAAGAGCGGGCACCACGTGGAACCTACGCGGCTCGGGATTCCATGCTGGATGCAAATTCACCCTGGATTGAAAGAGTGCTCAATTTGTGGAATCCAGAGACGCATCTGAAATGTTATGCACTTGGCAAAGCCAACCATGTCCCTAACCTCTTGGTAGCTCCTGAACCGCTCCCTCTTTCAAGGCAAAGTTGGACCTTCCAACCACCAGCTTGTCGCCCCTCTTGATTTACACAGGCATAGGGTTTCTCTCCAATGTTTTGTCGGGACCCAAAAATGGCATGGGGTTTCTTTTGCTTTCCTTATAAACCAACCCAAAAAAAGGGTTCCCCAAAACAAGGCGATTTAGGGTTTGATTGAAGTCCAGGCATGGCAATTAGATCACTTCGAAACCCTATGCGGCGAGTTGATGTTCTTCAAGGATTTGTTCAACTCAATCCGCAATATCCTTGCGCCAAATGGCAGATTGTAGTGGTGTCCCGCTGCGGATCACGGATTAGCGTTAGGGCATGGAACGTAGATCATGACTTTGACTCGTTATTCTCAAAGCTCGCTGGAAGTGCCTTGTAGAGGGATACAATAAAGTAACTTACCCGGCAAATCAACATGGGGTTCCATAGGAGATGCCTCCAAATGGATGGGTGTTGCCGGGTTCTAATCTGCGGAGTCAATCATATTCGGTCGGGTGCCCCAAGGCCCCATGTTTAATTGAGGCGGCTCCATATGGGTGTCTTGTGTTTTGAGGGTTCCCTTCTTCAGGTTGGTTTGAAAGGAAACCAAAAGGGAAACCGAAGCCATTTTGCGGCGCTCTATTTTGATGTCCCATATCCTACTTGGACTCAACCTTCGGAGCCTATCTGCCCTTGCCTTGCCCCTGAGCAGTCGGACACCTTTTTTTTTGACACGTTTGTTTGAAGGGATACCAAGATAAGGAGGAAAACGGAACCCCACACGCTCCAAGCCCGGCTTGGAAAAGAAAACGAGGGCCCCCCCGGTCTCTCCGGGTCCCGAAGGGCCAACCGGGAAACCTTCCACTGCTCGGGTGATGGGCATCTCGGGGTCCGAGTGACCGGGTAATGCTCAATGGGCCCAGGCTTGGAGTTCGGGTAGAAATTCGGGGCCTATTGAAGTAACCTCCCGCAAATGTCCCTTGGCTTAAACCAGTGGCTACCAGCCCACTTCCCCCAAGCCCGGGAGGTATCTTCACTTTCATGTTTTTCCTGGGCCCTGTTTCCCGTCTCCTTCAGCTGCGCAGCGACGGGGACACCTGCGCTGTCCGCCCTGAAAATGGGTGTGTCTTCGATAAAGGGAAACATCCGTTGAACAGAAAATCCGACATCAGAAAACTCCCCAGATGTTGCTTTTTGTCCAAATTTCTTGCCGGGGGGGGGGGGGGGGGAAGGGTTGGGGGTTAGGGGGGGGGTAAGGGGAAGTGTCTGTTCGCCCCTTTTTTCTTTGCATGAGCAACGGTCAATATTTACTGTCATCTACTGAATGAGATTGGGTACACTCACGAAATTACCACTAGAGAAAGGCATTTTGCACCAGTACCAATGAAACCCAATTTGACGGGAAAATCCATTTCGCACCATGCCCGATTTGGTTCTCTGGTTGAACTACCACTCCCATCTGAGCCACGGTCACAACTCCTGGCCTATGGTGATGGTTCCGCCTATGGTCATGGTTCAATTTATAGGAATCCTTATCACGGTCATTAAGGATTCTTACTACCAGGCGGATGACCATCTCTGGCAAAGACCAATGTAAAGAAACCGGTCGAAATGAACAGAAGCACATCTGATGCAAAATGGACGCTCACGGCTCGCGATCTGTCGCCTGGATGCCAAGCTCCTTGCAGAGGCTGACAGCCTTCTCCAGGCCTGGCCGAAAAATATGATCAGGGGTTAACAGGGACAGAACCAATGGAAACAGAGGGAAAACCAAGGGAACTTGTCCGAGAAATGTTTAGAGGGTTGTCTGGTGTTTCCCAAATAGGGGAACTCCAAAGTGGGCGATTTCCTTGAGATGTCCCTTCAAAACCCGGGATACCGGCTCCAAAAACGCGACACACCCATTTGAGGAACCCACCCGCGGCCAAACTTCGGATGGCCTTTTATGCGCTCCACTCGCATCTTTTGAGGGCATCCCACTCAGCCTGCATGTGGCATACCTCCGAAAGGGAATCTGCACTTTCAGGGCGGTTCTCCAAACAATGATCCAATATGATCTTGCCATGAGAAAAAGGGAACCCTTGGTTGACTTGCAAAATCCTTACCCACAAAAAAAAGGCACCACTGGGCAACAGAGACCCTGAAAGTGCAGATTCCAAACAATGTTCCACTAGGAAGTCCAAAGAATTCTCCATGAAAAATCCAGCTCGGCCTTCCGAGAAGCTGCCCCTTCCGAGAATTCGACTTAGGTTCTGGTTTCGCAGTCCCATGCCGGTCCCAAAAAGGGCAGGGGGGCCAATGCAAACGCCCTCTGGGTACCAAAAACCAACTCTCACGGACTCCACCCGTGGGTGCCTCTCCAGACGAATGGTCAAATGCGCAAAGAATCTGCCAAGAATGAGCCAACAATTTGCAAGAGTGTCGCGAAGAAATGCCAAGAATCTGCTAAGAATCTGCCAAGAATGCGTTACGAATGTGTCAACAAAGTGCCAAAAGTGCTAAGAATGTGCCATGAACGCGCCAGGAATGTGCCAAAATAATGCGCCCAGAATGTGCCAACAACGTGTCAAGAATGTGCAAAGAATGTGCCGAGAATGTGCCAAGGGTGTGCCAAGCATGCGAGTGCCAAGAAAACAGGCCCACAATGTGTCAATCATGCGCCGAGTCTGTGTCAAAAATGCGCCCAGAATATGTCAAGAATGTGTCAAAATTGTGCCAAGAGCGCGCCGAGAATTAGGATATTCGAGAGATCCCAAGCTTCCCGCATGGCCTATCACTTTCGCCAGAGTCTCCTGGGTCACAGCATTGGTCTCCACGCCGCCTAAAGCCATTCCCGACGAGGATTTTCTTTAGGCCCAAGGGGAACTTGAAATGGAGATCCACCCCTCCCCAATTCTATCCATAGCTTCACTTCAAATAGGAAGGGTGCTGGGAGCCAGGCAGCCAAACACCCGTGGGCATGTGGCTTGTTGACACTTGCGCCTTTGGGCAGCAGAAACACCTGGATGAAGTCCCGGCCCTCCGGGTGTTTCAATTTGCACAAAGAAAAATCGCCAAGTGGACCGCCCGAACTTTGCCTTCACATCCACCCGCCCGATAGCTCGTACGAAAAGCCTTTGGCCATGAGAAGCCTTTGGCAATGCACTGAAGACAGGGACAAAGAGCAGGCAACTCGGACAGCAAGCTGTGTCGCACGTAAATGGATATTGTTTGCAGCCCGCTAAGGCCGGCAAACACTCCAGCCGGCACTTCACTCAGCGAGTTGAATTGCAGATCCAGTGTCTGCAGCTTGTTGAGGCCGGCAAACACTCCAGCCGGCAATTCACCAGCGATTGGATGACAGATCAAGTGCTTGCAGGCTGCTGAGGTTGGCAAAGACTCCAGCCGGCAATTCACTCAGCGAGTTGTATGACAGATCCAGTTTCTGCAGCTTGTTGAGGCCGGCAAACACTCCAGCCGGCAATTCACTCAGCGAGTTGGATAACAGATCAAGTGCTTGCAGGCTGCTGAGGTTGGCAAAGACTCCAGCCGGCAATTCACTCAGCGAGTTGTATGACAGATCCAGTTTCTGCAGCTTGTTGAGGCCGGCAAACACTCCAGCCGGCAATTCACTCAGCGAGTTGGATAACAGATCAAGTGCTTGCAGGCTGCTGAGGTTGGCAAAGACTCCAGCCGGCAATTCACTCAGCGAGTTGTATGACAGATCCAGTTTCTGCAGCTTGTTGAGGCCGGCAAACACTCCAGCCGGCAATTCACTCAGCGAGTTGGATAACAGATCAAGTGCTTGCAGGCTGCTGAGGTTGGCAAAGACTCCAGCCGGCAATTCACTCAGCGAGTTGTATGACAGATCCAGTTTCTGCAGCTTGTTGAGGCCGGCAGAGACTCCAGCTGGCATGTCACTAAGCTTGTTCGAATACAGGTAAAGTGTCTGCAGCTTGTTGAGGCCGGCAAACACTCCAGCCGGCAATTCACTCAGCGAGTTGGATGACAGATCCAGTTTCTGCAGCTTGTTGAGGCCGGCAAAGACTCCAGCTGGCATGTCACTAAGCTTGTTCGAATACAGGTAAAGTGTCTGCAGCTTGTTGAGGCCGGCAAACACTCCAGCCGGCAATTCACTCAGCGAGTTGGATGACAGATCAAGTGCTTGCAGGCTGCTGAGGTTGGCAAAGACTCCAGCCGGCAATTGACTCAGCGAGTTGAATTGCAGGTCCAGTGTCTGCAACATGCTGAGGCCGGCAAACACTCCAGCTGGCATGTCACTAAGCTTGTTCGCATCCAGGTAAAGTGTCTGCAGCTTGTTGAGGCCGGCAAACACTCCAGCCGGCAATTCACTCAACGAGTTGGATGACAGATCAAGTGCTTGCAGGCTGCTGAGGTTGGCAAAGACTCCAGCTGGCATGTCACTAAGCTTGTTCGCATCCAGGTAAAGTGTCTGCAGCTTGTTGAGGCCGGCAAAGACTCCAGCTGGCATGTCACTAAGCTTGTTCGAATACAGGTAAAGTGTCTGCAGCTTGTTGAGGCCGGCAAAGACTCCAGCTGGCATGTCACTAAGCTTGTTCGAATACAGGTAAAGTGTCTGCAGCTTGCTAAGGCCGGCAAACACTCCAGCCGGCAATTCACTCAGCGAGTTGGATGACAGATCCAGTTTCTGCAGCTTGTTGAGGCCGGCAAAGACTCCAGCCGGCAATTCACTCAGCGAGTTGGATAACAGATCAAGTGCTTGCAGGCTGCTGAGGTTGGCAAAGACTCCAGCCGGCAATTCACTCAGCGAGTTGAATTGCAGATCCAGTGTCTGCAGCTTGTTGAGGCCGGCAAAGACTCCAGCTGGCATGTCACTAAGCTTGTTCGAATACAGGTAAAGTGTCTGCAGCTTGTTGAGGCCGGCAAAGACTCCAGCTGGCATGTCACTAAGCTTGTTCGAATACAGGTAAAGTGTCTGCAGCTTGCTAAGGCCGGCAAACACTCCAGCCGGCAATTCACTCAGCGAGTTGGATGACAGATCCAGTTTCTGCAACATGCTGAGGCCAGCGAACGTGGCAGCAGGCAATTCACGCAGTCTGCATTGCCTCGCGTCAAGGGTGTGCAGAAAAGGGTTCTTTGCAAACATTGGCAGTGCAGTTAGGTCGGTCTCGCTCACGTCCAGGACTCTGAGACTCGGGCTGTGTTGGAGAAGCTTATGCGGAAGAGACTTCAACGGATTTCCCATGATGAGTCGGCTGCCAGAAGCATCTGACTTGCCTCCCAGCAGCAATTGCTTCAGCAACGGGATGGGCTGCAACAACTCTTCTGGCAACTCTTCCAACTGATTCTGGCTGAGAGACAGGATCCTCAGGCTGGATAAGCCGTTGAAGGTGTCAGGCTCCAGGCTTTGCAACTGGGTGCGGCCCAGATCCAGGAGCTGCAGGCATGTGAGCGAAGCAAACACCTTAGGGAGCCCGCCTAGCGGGTTCCCTGAAAGCGACAATCGTTGCAAGCAGCCTGCAGAATCAAAGGCCTTCTCTGCGACGCTGCTGATGTTGCGGTCGCTCAGACTCACGTCTTTGAAGCGAAGAACCCGAATGAGGCCGCAGCTCTCAAGCTGTTGCGTGCCATTCGGTAAGCCTATGCAGCGGCATGGGAAGCATGTAGATTGAGGGTGACTTGGATATGATTCGCTTGAAATCAGCAAGAATATCATCACAAGCAGCAAGCTGGGCGAGTACCTCACTGCCAAAACAAACGCGAACTTGTGGGCAGAATGAACAGCACAAAAGAAACAACATAGAGTAAAGTTAAGCCTATCTGACAGCTACGAGTAACAGCGCCTTGAACGTTGCTCTCCACCTCCTCTGGCCAAACAGGTTTGCAGAGCGGACTCGCGATAGTGAAGTAAAGTTATGCATTGGTGTCAGATCTGCGCGCTCCAAAGCTCGACACACTGTGCAAACATGGGCCACCGAGTAATAAACAGCAACATATCCCAAGCAGTCCACGGGAAAAACAAAAGCTGGGTCCAACCTTGCTTCAAAATTCACAGCTGCCTCGTCACCAAAATTACCAGCCACCTGTTGGTCCAGAGATAGCTCGGAAATGGCAAGCAAAGTGAGGACCAGGTACGTTAGAGTATAGGCAATGTCTAAAACTGCATCCATCATAGCAGCTCCCAAGCGCATCCACTTCCAGTCGAAGAAGAGCAACATGCTTGGATAGATGCTATTCAAGCAAAGCAGGCCCACAAAAACCCAGAAGCAGCTCTGAAACGCGTCAGCGTCAGCACGAGCGTGCGCTGCAAACGACACGATGCCACCCAGAAGCTGAAGCTTTCCAAGCGCTTGAAGCATCACAGTCAGAAGCTGCCTAGGTTGCCCTTGCGAAAAGTTTAACATGTTGCTAGTGGGGACTTAGATGACTAGCAGGTTAGCCACGTGATTGTAATAGTCACAAGGTCTCTCAGGGCAAACAGGGGGGGGAATCTGGGGGTGGACTATTCTCAAAGACGGAACGAGTTAAACCTTGCACTCCAAGCTGCAATCCCGCCACTTTGATGCTGTAGAACTTCCCCTCTATCCCGAAATATGTCTCATAGAGCACCTGAGGCAAACATCAAAACCAGGCAATAAAGGGGTCGTCCCAAAACGACGTAATTGAGTCAAGAGGGCGATCGTCCCTTACGTTTACCCGGACTTTGATTGCTCACCTGAGTAGGCTTCCACTTCCGATGTTGTGTAGACCCACAACGCCGCAGGTCCAGTATCAGGACGATCGTCAGCGCCAAATACGGCAGGGCAAACGCAATCGATAGCCACCATCCTTCAGCTTGGCCGTCCGTATCCACCTCCTGCGCTTCAGTTTTCTACCCAAATGGTCTGTTGGCCTGATCCCCAAGATTACGTCCACCTCAATCAATGTCCCGAGAAAATTGTTTGGCCAGCCGATCCATTTGGCTGCTATAAGGTTGCTTGTTTACTTCAGCTGCGCAAATAGATATGCAAGAAAAGGAAGGGAACAGAAAATGGGAAGCCAGAAGGAGAGAAAGAAAGGCCGGGCAGCCAGCCAGTTGGCTCACTGCCCTGAGCAACTTGGAGCGTAGTGTCATTTGCTGTTGCAGGGGCTGACAATTTCAGAAAACATGTTGCCGAAACAAATTGCAAGCTCATTCCAGAGCAAGCTGAACAACTTGAAAGACGTTAGTTTCCCAAACAAAACTGCTTTTCTAAGCTTTGTTTAGAAGCTACCCCTGAAACATTCACACAAGGTGGGGTAGTACTTCAGGGGCATTTCACGACTACCCCTCAAACAAGCTTTAGTCCAAAGGATTCCAAAGGCTAATAAAATAGGCGTTGTTTTCATTGCTTGCCCGTGTTGTTGTTTTTCTCGGGGGATGTCTTACTACCCTTCACTTCAACTACTTATCTCACCTTCCTAGTGGGCACATCTCTCCCTATCTCAACCAAAGAAATGAAACTGGCTTCCGCGAACACAGCTGCTCTTCTCAAACGAAAACTAACAAACTACACCTGCAATCACACAAAGAGGGAGCCTTTATAGGCCCCGTAGAAAAACCAAGTGGTTGTTTTCGTAGCTGAAAAACAAATCTGGTCTTAGCAAAAAGCTTCAGCAGTGCAGCAGTACATAAGCAATACTAAAATGAAAGACAAAATACTAGCAGGAGGCTGCAACAATACTGAAGGAACTACAGTATAACGGAAAATCACATTTAGTCTTAGCAGAAGGCTTCAGCAATACTGAAGGAATACTACAGGGCAACACTAAAATACTAAAGGAATACTACAGTGGGCCGATCATTGTGAGGTCTCCATTTGCGGGGGAGGAGGGGTGATATTAATCATCGGACATTACTTGGGGGGAACAGTGATCGTCCAAAAAGGTTGAAAGGTGGAAAGGAGCACCAAGACCAGTCAAGTTTGACAGGGCCCTGTCCTTGAGGGCCAAGCCAGCTTTAAGACTTGGCGCAAGCGTGGCTCTGAAAGGCGCTGGACAGTAGCGAATGAAGTATTGAGCCCCCAGATAAATGGCAGCAAGCAAAGACACAGCACGAAGGCAACCAACGGCTACACCCACCGGCCAGGAACGCAGCGGAAGCCCGGCAACATCATGAATCTGCGTGGGCAAGTTGGCAAGCCGTAAGTGCTTGGCCAAGCGATGCACATCATCCAGCTGCTTCTCGAGCTCACTCAAGGATTCTTCGTAAAAAAAGACTGTAGCAAAGTACCCGTCAATTCCGACGACAATCTGCGCACACCTGTGTCCCGTCTCGAGCACAGCGAATGAATCGCGCACAGAGACCACCTCGACCCCGCCGACCTCATTCTGCACTCTTGCACGAAGGAACTGCCAAGCACGAGCCATACTTTCCAAGCCATCAAAGGTCACATGACAATAGAGAAGGTCCAAAAGCCGACGCAAATCCCTGTGCCGCACAGCTTGCACTGGCCTCAACATAGGCTTCAAGCCCTCAGTTGCCGGTCCCTGATCATTTAAAAAGTCACGCAGTGGCAAGCATACTTCCTGCTGAAACTTGTCAAATCGTTTTCTGGCTTCCAAAAAATGGTCTTTCAAGCTGCCCACGTGCTGCAATATGTCTTGTCCCTCTCCAAAAAGCAGGGACATATCTCTGCCCAGATGCATTGCGTAGACAGACTCGGCTTGGACCTCCAACTCCTTGGTCAATTCTTGCATCTGATTCAGCCGAGCGGTAGTGTAGGCGATGCTGATCACAGCGAGAGGCACCGCGACCACTGAAATTTCAGCTGCGGAACTTCCAGTAGACTGCTCCAAGCTGTAAGCTGCCACAGGGCACAGACTGAGAATGATAAGAATTAACAACCATCGGCTTTCGACTTCCGCGACCGCCTGTGTGAGAATAAGAAGCCCAAGCTCAACATACTGGCGCAGCGTGTTCAATAAACCCAACATATGTTTACAGACTTTCAAGCTTCGGTGCTTCTCACAGTACCCATCTTCTGCACCATGAAAGGACGTACAGCCAGGGTGGCTGCAAGGGAACGGCCTGGCGGCATCTGCTTGCTCCTCTCTCAGCTCGTCCTCGGTGTCTGCGGTGTCCGACTGATCGCTGGCAGAGCGCCCGAGCCGCGTGGCAGCCAAGGCGTTGGTGCGGCAATTGCGCCGATGGCGCAGCCGCCAAATTGGCACGCGAGGGCATTGCGCCAAGAGCAAGGCACAGATCGTCCGGAGGGTCGTCTGGCTCCGAAGCCAAGTTTCGCGGGACAGGCCTTCGATGTTCACCCAAGCCTCCGATCTTCGCAGGGAGGAACCTTTGATGGCCTCGTGCAGTTGAATCCGGGCATCTTCAGAGATCTGGGGGCACCCATTCAGATCGAAAATGAGCTCCTGCAGACGCAGAGAAAGCAGCGCTGTGCTTAGAGATCCCAGCTGCTCCAGTCGGGGCAAGTTCATGAACCTGTGGCCGCAGCAAAAGGGCCATGTCTTGTGCGGGGACACTAACAACCAGGTTCCTTGAGATAGGACCCCCACCCCGAAATGAGTAGTCTGTAGTCTCCTTTTGGGCCCAACCGAAAGGAGTCATGTATCAAATCTCCCCCATGCAAGTCCCTCTCAACATCACTGTCAAGGAAAGCCACCATCTATCATTCAGATTCCTTTTGTTCGACGTTCACGTCTGCAACAAACAGCTAGCACATGTTGCCTGATCAACCAGCAGACATCTGACACGCCACGATCTTGACAAGGGTTCATGTAAGAATGGGAAACACATCTGGGTGCCACATGACCCTGGAAGAAACAGAATATATGCAATCCACTTGAGGTTTCTCCGGGGATAACAATAAGCCCTGTAAAACACAGAAAAAGAGCCAACTTGGACGTTGCAGCCAAGTGCACCACAGCTCCAAGTGCGTCAGGCTCCACTTTTGCAGAGCAGCAGAAAGGCCCGCAATGTTGCGGAGGGATGGGGAACCTGAGGGCTGACGGGCCAAGTGCTACTTAAGGTTACAAACATACTTAGGAATTTGAGTTTCCCTCCCAAAAAGGTCGGTCAGGGTGACGAATTTCAGTCTTGCACGCCTGTGAAGCGCAGCTTCAGCTGAACCAAGAAACGCAGATCTGCTGACGCAAAGCAATCCAAGGTCTCCAAGCCTGTGAACCCCAGGTCCAATCGTAAGACTCGCAGCTCGCTCGGCAGATTCAACACCAGGCTTTCTAGCTCCGGGTCGGAGAAATGCTGGCACCCGGTGAAGGATAACTGCACCAGCTTGCGGGAGACATCTGTTCTCAAGGCCGTTGCGAGACGCTCTGTGCGTTTGTTTAACCAAATGCAGTTGTACCAGCTCGCCAAAGCGAAGTGTGAGGCAAGAGCTTGGTCCACAAGCCGGAAATTGTCATGCTTCTCAGGTGCCACAGGTTGATCCAACTTGCACGTTTCAAGACGAGGAAATGCTATGCTGTTCAGTATCCGAACCTTGTCCATCGGCTGGGTGGCGTTGGCTTCCTTGCAAACTTGAAATGAGGAATTTCCCAAACAAGGCCGTTGAAGGCAAAACACAGTTGCTCGCACACATCGTCTGCGGAAACAATATCCAACTAGAATGGCCCCAGAAACAGGGGGAAGCATGGGCAACCAGCGAGCTGCAAGAAAAGAACAAGGTGGCCAAATCCAAGATTCTTCGATATTGACCGTCAGACCTTCTTCCAGCAGTTCGAAAGGAAAGCCCCGTTCTCGGACCGACTTCCGGTGCAGGCCGACAATGCCGATCATGCGAGTCTCGGCGCCGGCAAGACCATCAGTGAGCACATGAGCCTCAGCACAAGCACGGCGTGAGTCTACAAGTCTGTTGAAGGAAACGTGCGTGTCAAGCAACAGGCACACTGTACTACGCATATTTCCTACTTGCGCTAACAACATGCACTCTACAAAGGTGTCCTTTTGGAAAAATAGATAGCACTGGTTCAATCATACATGATTGAACCAAACTGAAACCGCCTTCTATGTTCAACGAAACTAACCTAGAAAGGACACCTATGGCACTAAAACAAGACAATGCTACAGCTCCCAAAACGGATTGCCCTCGTAAATGGAAACAGGTTGCCTGGTGGTTTAATTTGACCCTTACCCATATGTAAAATTCACGGATTTCGGCTTCTTTGAAGGGAGGGTTCATTGACATAACTCTTGCAGCGTTAAAGAACAAAAGCACAAATGCGACGCGTCGCTGTGTCCTCTGCAGCCGTTGCTCCCACATCAAGCAATAGGCGATGCCTTAACTGGCCGTCCTCGCGATGCTCGATAGCCTTGGACAACATGCGCGCCTGCAAAACGTGCTAGTCTGTCTTTAAAGACAACGACAACACACAGTTGTCAAGGGCCATCAAAAATGATCTCCCCATGGTCCCGCAATGCCTGGAAGTCGACGGCTACAGCCCCGGCTTTTGATTGTATGGAGTTGTGTGTGTGTGTGTGTGTGTTTGTTTTGTTTTGTGGGATGTGTTGTTTCCTTCTTTTCTTTTCTTTTATTCTTTTTTGTTGGGGGGGGGGGGTAGTTTTTCAGAAGGGTACGCCATGGGGCCTGTAGGTGTGCAAATCGCTTTATGTTCTTTACAGCAAAACTATGCAAACAGCAGGAAGGGTTCTTGTGTGCTTGCATCACCACAGGCCCCAAACAAAAACTCCTGCTAAATAACAAGCCCCATGGCAAACAGAAAAAAAAAACACCTCTAGGAAAAAAAAACAATCGGGGAGAAACGTTTGGTCAAGGGGACCTTCTGTCTGGGGTTTGGTATTCCGACTAAATTATAATTAAATCATACTTGGCGAGGAACTCGTATGCAAAGTCTAATTCAAAACAAGGATTCTACAGAAATTGATGAAGAGTAACAACCAGCTTGTCTTTCTTTATTATAACTGAATTATAACTGAATTACAATTCCGTACTAGATTCTATCTGAATTCTAGTCAAATTATATTTAAAACCCTGCTTGGAAAGGACATCATATTCTCAATAAACACTACTTGGAAGGGGATTCCTGTTTAATATCTAGTTCAAAATAAGAGTTCTAAAGAGTTCTAATTAAATTATCATTGAAATCATATTTGGACAGGAACTCCTATTCAAAACCAAATCGCAAAATAGGAATCCTAATTCAGTTTCTACCTGCAAAAATAATTCCAAATGAAGTCTATTTCAAAATAAGAATTCTACTTGAGTTCTAATGAAAATTCCATTGAAACTTAAAGCCTTGCAAACCTATAGAACTGAGGTTGCGTGTTGGGAAGCTATTGGTGTGTTCGCTCCGCCACGGAGGGAAGCCGAAAGCAAACAACCATTTGTCCTATTCTAAGGTTTGATTCGCACCCATCGTTCTCTTTAGAAACCACCTATTTTTCAGGGTTTTGCCCATTTTTGGAAGAGAAGGATCCCTGAAGAGAATGGAGAGGGTACAGCTAGAACTAGCATTTGTGCTCACCAAAAAAAAGGGCATGGAGAGAATGGGCCAAATCTCCTTTACGGGTGTTTATGGACTCCCTATACACGAACTATGGAAAGAGGATATGATTTAGTATCTCTTTGGTATTCCTACCACACTGATGAGGTCCATTGAGTCCCTGGCAATGGATTGCTCGAAGCAGCACCAGATTCGATTGAAAGGAGTGCCATCTCGATCCAGCACCAAAAGCACTCCGCGGCACATCTGCATAGCCTCACTTGCAACCAACGCTTGCGCTTCTCCCTTTAAGCCCAACAGTCAACTTGCCCTAGTTGGTGGTTTGGATTGGCAGTGGTTAGGGGTGATGTCCCAATCCACACCACCAAGTAAGGAGTACCGAAAATAGGCCATGCCTCACTTCCAAAGGGCACCACAGGCGATCTTGATTGTCTACATATCCGTGGCTAACTTTGTTCTACCTAGAGGTGACCTTTTGGCTGAAACCAAACGAACCAAACGGAAAATGAAAAAAGGTCAAAAGGTCGACTTTGCGCAGACGATTAGCTCTGTAAAACGAGGTCCTTCGAGGGTTGCTTGTGATTTCTTCCTCTACACAGTGCTGGTTGTTGGCATAGGCGCACACCCAATAGGCAGTACTGTCAGACAGTTCCCGCACCCAAGCATGCTGCTCCAAACACGCCAAGAATTTGCACACAGGTTCCTCGCTGGTCAGGACAAAACAAACAACTGGGTAAAAACGTAAACCCTTCAAACACGTTTGTCCCCATTTGTGGACACAGCCTCCCAAAAAAGACACAATAAAACGATATGCTTTCTCCAGCCTCAAAACAAACTTTTGAGCAAACCGCAGGTCAACAAGGAAGGCCGAAGTCCAAGCCTCCAAACAACCTTCGGCCAAATCCCTTATCCCTAACAATGAAGGTCCCGCAAATGAATACAACATATTCTCCAAAGCCCCTTCGAGACCCCAATACTAGAATTAGAGCAGGCCCATTCTGAACTAATCCTAAACTAACGATTTGCCACCGACCCGACTCCCGTTGTATTGCAGGTCTCTTAGTCCTTTCCTGTTGGGAGCCAAACAATGCAAAGCAAGAGACCATAATGTACTTGCTTAAAAATGCATTTGGGAGCTGTTGAGCTTTTCGTTTCACAGCTGCTAGTTCATCCCCAAAAAAGTCATGGTTTCTAAGGTACAAACTTGATCGGAAATCCCATTCCGAATGCCCTTGTTGGTCGTTGAAGGGTACACCACTGCAATAGCAAAACCAATACCCAATCCCTCACAACCCCCAAGCCGCGCCCGAGATACCCCTTTGAGTTGGGGGCCCTCGGGGTGGTTCTTATAGGCCAAGACTCAATCCAAGCATGTGACACAAACCAATGAGGCAGCTGCAGTTGAGTCGCCATGATCTCTACGAGGCTGCAGCCTGTTCCATAGTAGCCCGCCGTCGCTGGCCTTGCTTTTCCACAACGCGGAAAGACTTGGTTTCCTGAAAAAGTCACAGGAGTTCACGGAAACCCCCGTTTCCTACACATGGGTCGGGCAAGTCTTTAAGTGAGTGACTTGATGATCCAATGATTCGCGTGGTACAGGTTGAAGCCGTGAAAGTCTAAGCAGCTTCCGGCGCGTTGTCCAAATGTCTCGCACCAACTGCTCGCCATCTTCGAGACAAAGGTCACTAGCAGTTGCAGCTGTCCCAATGTAATGCCCCTCTCCGCGGTATCTTCGATGCAGAAGGGATCCTTCGGGGCAAATATAAGGCCTACCCCAAATCATGGAGCCCTGCGAAGGGCTACCCGGGCCGTCCCTTTTTGCCGGGGTCCCCCCCCCCCGCATTGCCCCCGTAAAGGTCCATGACCAAACGTAGGAAAGATGCCGAAGACATGCAAGCGATGGTAGAGGCCCCACATAAGTTTTCGGACCCGCAATGCTTGCGGATGCTCGCGGGGGAGAGGGGTTCTGACAGACCTCAAAGCAAAAAATGATCTCCCCAACTGGCATTCAAAGCGGAGGCGGGTTTCAAAGACAACTTCCCTGAAATCACTACTAGGTCGCGGACAAATCACGAGAACCACGAGTTGCCCTACATGCGCGAAAGATGACACGCCTGGAAAACAGGCGTCACGTCAGGTCTCCTCATTGCAAATTTCTGAATAGTTGGCAAAGACCAGCGTGCTGCCTGCAGCAATGATGTCGTCATCTTGAAACTGGCGAAGTCCACACGAGAGCAGCTTGTTGCCATGCCAAGGGCAGTCGTTCGGCAGGTGGGCGCGGGACGACGAAATGAGGTCGCCCGCAGTGCGGGAAGCGCAGCTCACGCGAAAAGACCCGGACCCAGGCACATCAATGTGCACTGACGTCGACATGGCGAACGTCCCCAAGTCCACATCAAGATCGAGAAAAAGCTTCGGGCGAAGATGAAATCGAAAGATTCATGAAGTCCTGCCCCTTTTCCCAGTGTTCCAACCCTGGAAATAGATGGGCCATACAAGTCATGGGCTTCAAACATCAAATCGGCGAGGGCCATGCTCGAGCTGTTGCCTAGGACCCGTGGCATTTCCGAAAGTTGGTCCCGGCTTTCAGATTAAACCGATGTGGTCTCGTTTCTGGACGCCAAAAGAAACCAGCTCACTTACCAGGAGTGAGTTATGCTAATCTGAGTCAACATCACCTGGCGAAAAGGATCTTTCATGAGGTATGTAGCAAACCCAACCCGAAAAATGAGGATATACACTCCCCGACCTCTTTGGAAAGCCGCAAACGTGCCGCTTGTTTCCAACTCTGTTGAACTGAAGCCCAAGAAACCTGGACATTCCTTTATGCACTTTTTCCCAGGCGTTGCACGGTGTTGATATAAGTCTCTTTAGGTATTTTGTGAGGATTTGCGCTGTGCGGTTTTTGTTCACTGAGGCGAGCGTGGCAACTTGTGGGCGATGTTTAACGTGTGAATTTTACTGAGGGGCCGTCTGGTGGACATCATTTAGGTGGGGATTTATGTCCACCACCCATTTGGGAGGGGGGTTTCCCATTAAAATTCACGGCCGTTTTAAACAGGGGGTTTCATGAAGCTGAAACTAGGGTTTGGAGGCATAGGCGCCAATGCCCCCATGCCGCACGCCAGACCCCAACCTAACCAAACCCCCGGGTTGCTCTAAATTGCCTGGGAGGTCAACCAAGAAGCGGTTTGCGAAATGTCCCTGAGCAACCTGGCCATTGGCAGGCGGCCCCGTTAGAAAACCAACATCTGTGGTCAAAGCTCGCGATATTGGGCTGTGGCTCCCTGAACAGAAACCCTTATTTTGCAAGCACCTTCCTCCAGGTTAGGCTGGGTGGGTACTCGTGTCCACCCGTCAGAAGGGGCACATGATGGGCATCGCTCCCGGTTGCCTGGGGGTAGCCTCAAAGAGACTGGCGCAAAGTCCCCCCCCGAAATGTCGGGTTCGTTTCACTCTGAACCTCTGGTAGGCTGGGTTGGAAGAGGGCGTTCAAATTGCTGTGGGGCCATGGCCGAACCGCTCATTCTTTCTCCAGGGCTACACCAACTCGGAACAAGCCCAAGAAATTGAAAACCAGGGCCCGGGCACTGCTTCATATGGCGGTACACGTCCTCTGCCTGCCTGGCAACTTGTTCGATGCGCGACCCATGCGAAGCCGTTTGAGCGGCTTCGCATCACCCGTTCCTCTCAAAGCATGGGAAGGCAACCCCGAAACCTCCAAACGCCAAACCAATGCACGGCAAGATGGTGGTTGGTGGGACAAATGCAAATTCGTCCAACCAACTCCAGGCGCATTGAAAAAAATGAGAAATCTCTTCAGATCCGCGGAGATTCCGCTAGCAGCTCGCTGAACCAAGGGGCTCAAATACATCTTGGACATAGCTTAATGTTGACCCCAGATTGATAAACCCTGGTGATTAATATGGGGGGGGTCCCCTTTTAGTGGAGGTTAATGACTTTTGGACGGAACACCCCGTATCGGGACCAAAGGCAGTGTTCCAACCTTGTAAGGGTGTCTGGAGATCGGAAAAGCTGTCTGCTAACTTGCCGGGCCGAGCGACTCTCCTTATCCCCTGGCTTTGTTTCATAGGCCGAATCGAAAAACTTGGGGATTTGCAGCTGCAGCGTCCGAGTCGTCTCCGTGGAATCTAACTGATAACCTAGAAGTGTCTATACACATAGACAGTGTATGTATACTCACATGCAGATACACATAGACAAAACAAATACACATGCATATACATGTTCATACACATATGCATAGACACACACACACACACACACACACGCACACACACACAGACGCGTACATATCCATGTGGGTCCCTTTAACAATGCAAAATAAACAAAGGCCGAGGTTCTAGAGGAATGTATGGCTCGCTTCTCCAACTTCAACCACGCCTCTCCATCTTGGGCCGCGATCGCATCATGGATCTCAGCAGAAAGTTGTACGTGACCTTGGCCGACATGGCTGTGGGTCAAAAAAATCGTACCCAGAATGGCTTGCCCTGGTAAATGGAAACATGGTTGCTAAAAGCTGCAGGCTCCTGGTGATTTCATTTTCACCCATACATGTGTTCCGGGAAGTTTGCTTCAACCACTGGTGCGTCAAAAGAATCGGACCCCCACAATGGGTTTTGGTTTTCGCTGTGGTTTCCCTTTGAGCCGAGACCAACAGGAGGTCAGTTTTGAGCTCCACAGGGCGCCTCCAAACAATTCATTGCCACCTGGTCTGTCCAACATGGGTTGACTGGCAACAAGGTCGGGGGTCAAACGGGTCAGTTTTCTCGGCTCCGGGCAACGGTGGGCCAGATGCCCTGCTCGAGCATCCTGCGCTTCGGCTCCGGCCGCGACGAGCTGGCCGGAATCAAGAGAGTCGCGGGGGTCTTCTTAGTTAGAAATAGATGGGTTTCCCTGGTAAATAGATGGCACAAAACCCACCTAAGCCACTGGCTTGCCGTCTATGTCTAGCCAAACTGCCGATCAAAAGGGCAATTATGATTCCAGGTTGAAATCCCCAAGTGACCCAAAGGGATATTTGGGACTGTCTTAAAATAGGGGAACCAAACACGGTTTCTGGGAATCGGGTTTCCCTTCAAACCCGCTCCAAAAAGGGTACCCTCAAAAAAAGACCTCTTTGGAGGTTCTCGGACTTCCCAGACAGGTGAAACAGCCAAGCTCGGACGACAGCCGGGGATGTCCCGGAATTCTTGAGCCACGGCAGGGGAGGCTCATTGCCGCCTGAGTGACGGTAGCTTCTTCCAGGCCATGGATAGGCCATCAGGGTGGACAAAAACGGGAAGCAGCACCCCGAAGGTCTGTAACCCTCCATCCCTCCAACCAACTTCCCGTAAGGACTAGCCCATCAAAGTACTTGGCGATCCGAAAGGTCTTTATCCCCAAGGTAAACCAAATGATGTTGGGTTAAAATATGTTCTCGGCATCCTTAAGGGAAAGCAAACGAATTTGCTTTACAGATCGATTAGCATGTCAACACGATGTCCTGGACATGCCCATGAAAAGCAGTCTCTTGAGCCTGTTGTTTCAAGGCGTTGCTGTGGGGTGCAAGATTTGCTGAAGAACCGGGAGCTCCCCTCTAAACCCACAAGAGGAATCAATTGCCACCACCCAAACATTTGTCCATGTCTTGCTGATTCTTTTCTTGGATGACAAGCGTGGGTTCTATCTCTCCAAGAGAAATCACACGTGGGGTGAAACGACGACCGCGTGTGAAGTGTGGTTCGGATTGAGTAGCCACCAAGCTTAGGCTGTGGCAACCCTCATGAGCGGAGACAGACTGGCTGAACAGTAACCCTCTGACGCATGGTCAAACTACTTTGACCTAAAGAAGCTCCTTTGGGTTGGGTCAAAGACCAAGGGTTGGCTCGGCACCAGCATCCGCATTCCCAGCAGTCACTTTCCGTCATTCCCCCCCCTGTCACAACCCTCCTATTTTAACCGCTTCCCCCCCCCTGTTTTAAACACCAACTCCTATCGACCTCAAGGTTGCTTTTCCGTCATTCTCGCATTCTCAAAACCCAGACTCTTTCACCACCCTCACCCTTCGCCTAAATCCCTCCTTACCCCCCCCTCCCGTTCCCCCCAACGCGGCGAGCGCATCGAGACATCGAGACATCGAGACATCGGGACATCGAGACATCGAGACATCGAGACATCGAGTGCGGCGCGGGCCTGCTGAAGAGCTGGTACTCTCGCAGTCCTGGGGCCTTGCTCGTCATGCTCTGTGCACCTCGCGAAACCAACCAACAAGAGAGAGACGCGAAAGAGACTCGAGCCGAGCCGAGCGGCTCGCAAAAAAAGCGGCGCTGGAAAGGCATGGGCAATGTGTAGATAGATGAATGTGCTTATATATATATATATATACATATATATATATATATACACGTATGCGCGCGAATTATTTTTGTGCATCACAAACATACATTTACACATGCAAACTACAAGTAAACCCCACCATTCGTGTTCTTGGTTCGCGGTCCCAGGAGAGCCACACAAAGCGCGCCTGCTTTGATGGCCTCTGTGTAGGACACGACGTTGGGCTGAACGCCGGAGTTTTCCTCGACTGCTCTGAAAACGGCAAACATGAAGCACTCAAACCCTCAAACCTGTCCATGGCAAGCATGCCATATGGGTGCGTCTAACCATTTTTTGAGGCGGGTTTGAAGGAAACCCGGAAGGAAAATAAAAAAAGCAAACACATTTTAGGGGGTCCAACCTTAAAAAAGGCATACCCAAAGGTGGCTATGAACTCTATTTGTGATGTCCTTTCCGATGAGAAGCTCCGAAAGGCTCCCTCTTTGGAAGCCAACTTGGATACCCCAAGCTCCTTCCGACCAGCAGATTTATGCGTTTTTGGTTCACCAACCATCTGAGGGTGCTCTCCGAACTATACCCCACCGCTTCAACTCAAGGCAGCGGCCTGGTCGCTCGTCATTCTACAATCATTCTAAAGCCTGAAATGGGCGCCCGCAAAATAGATTTCGGTGTGTGTGTGTGTGTGTGTGTGTGTGTCCTGGTCCGCCTTCAAAGCCACCCAAAAAAGGGTTACTAGGTACCCTCAAGAAAAGAAATACCAGAATATGAATTGGAACCCTAAAGGGCCTGCATTTTCGCCGGTGAGTTGGTTTTCACTTCCTCACCCGCCACATTGGACCAAACATGCCCCGCTTTGGGGTTGCGTCTTGACATTTGCCATTTGTCGGGCTCGAGAAAACGGTGAAAGCTTTGCTACGGGAAGGGGGCAACCACGACGTTTGCTACCCTCCCACCAATTCACACCTGAATTAGCAAAGAGGCTCAAAGGTCGTGGCTGGGGGACTCTGGAGGACCCCACATCAGCCACTCCGGACGTTCGGGACGGGTACCTGTAAAAGGAAAATGACATCTTCCACAACCGAAACGTCGAAGGCTTCCATGTGATTGGTGGGTATCGTGCCCCTTGGTTTTAGCAGGGATGGATCTCACTTGCAGGTGGTTTGGGGATATCCTCAATGAAGGAACCCTGCCACATGAAAGGTGTCAACTGATTTTGTGGACATGAAGCCGCCTTCCGAGCAGTTTCCACAACCCATTCCATTCTTGAGGCCATGATTGAAACCACCCATCATGTTTGAGGCTTGGGTGTATGTTTACCGCTGAGTCAAAGGGGAAAGCAAAGGGAAGAAACACTCATTTGGAGTCTATGTCTTGAAATTAGAGGAAATGTCATTCTTTGCCTGGTTTCCCTTTAGCTTGCCTTTCAAACCTCATACCCCCGCCACATTCAACCGGAAGCTGAGTTCGGGTCCAGTCGCTCCAGCCTGAGTCGACATCGCACTCGGAAAGGAACCCAATTGGGTGAATCTTTGTGTCGTCACATGTTCGGAAAGGACAAAAACTTGAGATGGTAGAAAGGCCTAGCTGGCAGGTGAATTCATTGTCTCATCCAACTTGAGGAAAAAACAAAAGAAGAAACAAAGCAGATCCCGCTTGGCAAGGGACTGGAGTCCTCCGTTTCGGCCAAGGCGCCATCTCCGTGCCTCACCCACGCGCCCGACTTTGGCGTAGGCAGAGATCATCCTCGAAGCGTCGACGAAAACGGACTGAAACCTGCTCCAACCACTGGGCAGAGACCATGAGCTTTGGGAGCTTTGGGACTTTTGGGCCCACCTTTTTACGAGGGTTGCAAAGGGGGGGCAAAGGTCATCCCCATTTTGAACAATCCTCACACGGTGCTAAATCTCTAAGTTACCTTTTCTGGTTTACTGGGAGGTTTACCTGCGAATTGACTGGGATTGTCTTGGGAATGCCCGAAACCAGGATCAAGAAAGCCATGGTCGCATGTGGGAAGGAATCCTGCACTTTTTGGGGGGGAACACCTCCCGTCGCCAACCCCAGACCAATTGGTGATCAAATATTGTTTCCATTCCGTCTTCTCTCAAAATTGATGAAGACCTAGGGACCCCCCCCAAAAAAAAAACACATGTTGGATTTCTTTGGTTTCCTCACAAACCCCACCAAAAGGGGGCTTCCAAACAACCGCACACCCATTTCTTGCGCCAAAACTCAACGGCTCCAGGGTTTGCTCCAAAGTTTCCCACACCCAGCTGTTCACCCATGTACTATCTTTGGCGGAGAATGTTGGCTGCTTTGCTGACTGAAGCACGACGCACTGGAAGAATCCAATGCTTCTCCCGTCCAAATTGTGCTCTCCATTTGGATGATCAACAACTATGATGTGCTGTTCAGCACCCAGAAAACACACCTGGGTTGGTCTCAAGATCCGGCGGGAATCACGCAGGTTGCTCTCGTCTCGTTTCTGAGTTTCCCTCGAAGAGCCACTCCTCAAAGGGTTCCCCCCCCCCCCGCCGGCACCAAAACAAACGCCCCACCGATTCTGCCCAGGCGCAAGGTATAGGTCACCACATCCGGCCTTGCAAGGAGGGCAAACAAACCATAAAACTAGATCAATAGAAGGTGTGTGTGTGTGGGTGTGTCTTGCTCCCCTTGGTTTCCCTATAATTCCGCCCGCAAGAAAGGGGACAAATATCCGATTTGCAGGCCCTGGAGTATGTCCAGAAGACGCGAACCTAGCGTCAAGTTAGGTTTCGACATGTCCACCATATTGTGTTGGGTAAAGGGTCAAAATATAAGATGTTACCAAACATTTGTCCAAACGAGCCCCGCAACGGGAGGGACGCCGTGCTCAACCAATTGAAGGGAGCGTCCAACCCCTCATTTTGAAAAAGAAACATTGCATTCACGAAGTCTTCTCAACCCCTGGTCTAGCAAGAAGCTGAATCTTCTCCTCCTCCAAAACAAACCAAATTGAACGCCTTCGCCTTCGCCGCACGAGCGCGCGCGCAAACGGAAAGCAAGCCGTGAAACTTGGTGGACTCCAGGCACGAGTCTGATGGACCTTTTTCGACCATAGGGGTTGAGGGGTTCTCATCCTTTTCGGTTGTTTGCCTAAACGCTGTTTGAGGGTTTCCTGAAAAGAAGGATCCATGGAAAGAATGGGGAAGCTCCCACATAGAACCATGTGAGTGGCGTCTGAATGAATTAATTACAAGAGGACTCTCATTCAAATGCCTGATATTTGAATGGGGGTTGGGTGCTTTATCCCCACTCGCGCTCGCGGTTCGTCTCGCAGCTGTCGCAGCGAGGACGAGAGTCCAATGCCGTTCTCAGAACGGCCTAGCGAAATCAGCCGCCGTTCGGAATGCCCGGCTCAATGACCGCTCATGGATCTGCCGCCGAGCCAACAGCAAGGATTCCACCGGGGCCCCAACCAAAACACCCGCCATGAAGCAAGTGATCCCCATGCGAGAACAATCGATCCTGTTCACAAGCAAATCCTCGCTGCCGGCCCTCTTGATTAAAGCCCGGATCAGTGAACGGGCGCACTGAATCCAATCGCCTATCAAGGCATGATTGAAATCAATGCTAAAAGCCCCAGGTGCAACCCATCCATGAGGCCCCCTAGTCGGAAAGCGGCCGCCGGTCAAATGGTAAGCCACCGCAATCTCGAACCAACTTACGGGAACACATCCATCACAGCCCGCATCAAACGCCAAAAACCAACTGCCGAAACCCAAAACAAATGATCTGGGAAAGGAGGTTCCCGCATCTTCGACAAAATCCTCAAGCCAGGACTGGCCCAAACGAATTCCAAGAGGTTCTACTCTAGGTTGGAAAACCACCGGAGCTTCCCAAAAGTCAGGGGCAACCTCATCCTCACCTGACGGGGAAATCCGGGCATGCACGTCGGCTTCTGCAAGCGTCACTCGCCTCAAAGCTCGAATGGTAGGAAGAAGATCCGCTACCTGATCGAGCAGCCGAGCTCGTTGGGCGAGTAGCTCCGCATCTCTGTTGTAAATAGTGGCTTTGGCCGCCACGTCTGCAGCCTCGTTGTGGACATGCTCCCAGTCTGCCAGCGCCGTCGCTCTGCTTTGGCTGGGTTGGTGACTACGAACCTTGATCACCATGATGGGATCCTGCTGATGATCAAGCACGAGCCGCAGTTGTTCCCAAAGATCGCCATTGGACACCGCCTCCTGCCGAAGCGCACCGTCATGTAGCCGACGCCAACCATCACAGCAGAGTTGGCTGTCCGTCCAAATGTTCACTGGTTTTCGCTGACGAACGGCCCAGTTGCAGGCTGCTATAATCCCGGTGATCTCCGCTCGAGCGATGTCCTGAATCATCCCGCCGCCACCACCGTGTCCAACTCCACACAGTGCACCGCCCAGCCCGCCAAAGACAGCCACGGGTGCTGCGCCGTAAGGCATGCTCCATCCGTGAACAAGTTGATGTGGCCATCCGGGGCGCTGATCTCCACCGGGTCCATGTGGTGATCAGGTTGGCCCTGAAGTAGGTGCAGGTAGCTGTCCATGCCCACCAGCGTTGGAACCAGGAGGTGGTGCGTCAGACAGTCCGGCAAGTAGTTCCACCGCGTCGTCAACCACTGCCGTTCCGAATGGTGATCCGTCAACTTGGGGCACTCCAGGCAGATGTGCTTCACCGTGTTGGGAGTTTGGCACCGGTCGCATAGCCCCGTGCACTCCGCGTCGTACTTGGCATGCTGCGCCGCCAGCCGAAAGCTGCCGTCCTGCAGCGCTGCAACCCGTGAGGCCTCCAGCGGAGAGAGCTTTGCACTGTCCAATCGGGTGAGGTGCAGATCAATGCCAAGTAGTCCGCCCATGGTTTTCCGGGATCGCACCTTGTTGGACACGTAGCGTAGCCACCCATCCTGAAGACGTCGATGTAGCTCCGCCCGATTGACCAAGAGTAGGTTCATGCGCATACCCATATGGTCCAGGACCCATGGTGGGTCCTCCATGCGCCACCCGAGCGGGTCGAAAACCTGCATGATCTGAGAAAAGGGTCCCGCGGCCACTGTTTCGGTGCAGTACAGGTTCTCGTGAAATCTCCTCCACAGGGCAACCAGTTGAGGTGATTTGCGACAAAGTAGGTCCTGCAAAATGGCCCATGTTCGAAAGAATCCTGGGTCAGCCAAAAGATTAGCACTCAGACTGAGTCGCAGCAGCGGGTTCGATCCCGCTCTGTGGGCATGAATTGCCCTGCTCGCAGTAGTCCGAAGCTGCATGATCTCCGCCTCCGTCACCGAGCAGATATTTTCGTGCCGTAGAAGACCGATGGCCAGAACTTCACGAAGAGCGCCTCCAGCTTCTGATGATACGGAGCTGCCACCCGACGCAGTTTGTTCCACTCGTGTGCCCTGAAGCAAAGCCGCATCCGGCTTGTTGAGAGCCCAAGCAAGTGTTTTGTCAGCATCTGGTTCCACTCGCCACATCTCGCAAAAGGACAGAAAGGCAATCCATGCACGAAAAAGGGCGGCCGCCGTGTCAGCCAGTACCGCAAAGTTGTCAACAAAGCTAAACGACATCACCTCCGGCTGAAAGGCCTTGAAGAAAGCGTGGAAGGAGAGGTCCACCAAGCACATAGCCACCGTGCTGAGGCCATATCCTTCTGGCATGCCGTTGGCGGAGCTGAGCGGCTCACCCAGTCCGCCTCGAACCTGAAATCGCCGTTGGTTCCGACTCAAGAACATCTGCCACGCGTGTAGCCACGGACCCGGAAGGCCCAAGTGAAGCCCCAGGAGCATGATAGGATGGCGTCCCAAGGTGTTGAAACACTCTTCAAGTCGCTGCACCACCCCGCAAGCCCGGCCCCCGTCTGCAAATGGACCTCCACTTCGGCCTGCTGCTCGTAGTAGTACTGAGCCGCCTCCCTTCCCGGCAAGAAGCCATACATTCCAAAGTTGCAGTACTGCTCTACGTGCCGCAGTGCTGTTCGCGCCCGCACGCCAGCCTGTAGGGGATGCCGTAGATCGTCACTGGCCGGTAGTCCAGAACCGCTTGGGACGTAGGCTTTTTGGCAAGGGCAATGACCGTTCCCTGAAGTAGTTGATCTGGCCAATCACTTAGTCCTTGCTCGATCTTGCCGTAGAGACCGACGAGCTGCTGCTGGTGCGCGCGTGGTGCGTTCTGCAAGTCGGCCTTGCTGAGTCCATCTGGTCCTCGCGCAGCAGTAGGCTTTAGCCGTCGTAGTGCCCGGTCCCACTCTGACATGTCCACCTCCTTGTATGCCAACTTGCCCTTGGGAAGGAAGTTGATGCCGAAGGCGATGGCCCGGTGCCAGACGTCCTCCGGGAGATTGAGATGGGCGTTCCATCGGGCTCGCCATTCACCAGCGAAATTGTCATGGAGCTCCCTCTCGTCAGTGATGGTTCGTTCGGGTACTTGTGAGGCTTTGTCCGGGTAGAGGAGGAGACGAAGTTTCCATGGTGATCAGGTCGCCTTGAGCTTGGACTACCTTGGTGGCCTCATCCTCGACATCCCAGCTCCGGCTGTGGATTCTTCTCTGTCCAGATGTGTGAGGCCGGTTTCCTGCTCGTGCGCCAAGATGGTGTAATCCTGGATCTCCAGGAGGTGGTCCACCTCAGGGGCCGTGGCCGTGACAAGGCTTGGTAGATCTGGTGCTGTAGAGCGTCTCCACCACCTCCACAGTCAGCCGAGGCTCTGCAGTTGTCGTGGCGCTCCTTGATGTTGAACGGGGCGCCTCGGCCACCATCTGTGAAAAGCTCCCTCAAAGCGTTTGGCCGTGTAGATGCTGTACCAGAGCTGGTGCAGGTGTTCCTGGGCCTGTTCGGTGTATAAGCCCGATTTGATTGCAAACCGTAGTGATTGTAGCCGACGGAGCTGCTTGAACCACCTGGCTACGGCCCAGCCCGTGAAGTCGTTGTAGAGAACAACCTCCCCTTGGCGACTTGGCTTGGAAAGCGGCGCTTCCGGTTGGCGTCGTTGTGGTTGAGTTCTTTGGCACCTACCCCTGCTCCGGGCTGCTAAACCATCTGAGCTTGACTGGTGCCGCATCCTCAAGCGCCCTCCCCCAACAGCCATACCAGCGCGTAGTATTGCCTGCCCTCGGGGATGGGGCAAGCGAGGGCTTCCGTTTGCGCCAGCCGGTCTGGATTCACCGTTTCCCCAGGGATGGCCGCCGGATGAACCCACTGAAGCTGTTGAGGCCGCTCGTGCCTCACCTTCAACATGATCTGAACCGTCTTATGTTCCATGAAGACCGGGCGCACCTCCACCTCCGTGCACAGCGCAGCCGCCTCCGGGGACATGAAGATGAAATCCCGCTGGGTCGCATTGCAAGTGTTCTGCACCTGACAACCCCAACTTCGAAGCGCCAGGTCCTGACACTCAACCCAGCCCATGGACTTCCAGATGTGGCACTGGTTGAGCTCTGCGGGGATCCGCGTTGTAGTCCCCAACCACCAGCCGTGGACCTCCCCTGCCCATGACTAGCTCCTTCGTGATGCTCGTCAAGAGCTGATCCGTCATCGCGACCGCCTGTGGGTACGTAGGTCCCTGAGCAAAGCCGTAGACCGTGGCCACAGAAAGA